GTGTTCCAGGCGGTGTCCCCGGGGCCGCGCCAGGGGAGGGGTAAATCCACCACCCGGGTTATGTACATGTGCGGCGCCTCCCGCTAGTGCGAGGACGGCCTGCCAGGCGCTTGCAGCTCCAGGGGCCAGGGCTGACACGCGGCCCGAAGTGTTGCGATCTTTCCTTTTCCCTCCTCCCTGGCCGATTTGAGCAGCCACGCGGCCCGCTCGACCTCCTCTTCTCCCGCGCATGCTGGCATGGTGGGCCCCCCTCCCATCAGCTGGGAAGCTTCAGTTTTCATCCTCGGGGATAAATCGCGATTTGGATACCTTGGGTTACCCCCCCTCGCCACCCGGAATCGTTAGATATCCATCCCCACTATCGTGGAGGGTAACCCTTCCTAAGATGGGTAACCCTTCCTAAGATGGCTCTAAGATGCTATCTAAGATGGATGTTATTTTAGCTAATGGAGCATACCCATCAGCTAAGATAGCTATTGGGTGCCAATCTTAATTAGCGCGGATGCCTGCCATTCCATTAGCTAAGATACTATACATACCCATCTTAGCTAATGGGGGTAACCCTCACCATTAGCTAAGATGGGTATCCTCACCATGAGCTAAGATGGTTACCCCCCTTGCCCCGCTCCCCCCATTCCGATGTCCGAGACCAGTCGGCCCCGCGCGGCACGCACGGAGGCCGACGGGTGCGACCTGTGTTTCCTCCTCCTCCTCCTCCTCCTCCACTTCCTCCTCCTCCTCCTCCTCTTCCTCCTCCCCTTCCTCCTCCTTCTCCTCCTCCTCTTCCTCCTCTTCCTCCTCCTCTTCCTCCTCCTCTTCCTCCTCCTCCTCCTCCTCTTCCTTCTCCTCCTCCTCCTCCTTTTTCGGGTGCCGCCAACCTCTGTCTTTCGGACTGGCTCCATGCTGTTGGGCTCAACGAGGTCGAGGCTCGTGAGCTGTGGAGGCTGCGCAGGGCTCGGGAGTCCGAACATACGCTGGGCGAGGATGATGTGGTTTCCTAGGGGGGGGGGCCTGTCGCTGGCCAACGGTGTGCAGCCTGTCCGAGCAGCCCCTTGGTAACAATGAGGTCCTCTTCGATAAGCCCCCTAGCGGTTGTTGGACTCTCTCTCTCTCTCTCTCTCTCTCTCTCTATTATAAGTATTCGTCCCCCTTAGTGGCGCGCACTCCTCCTCCTCCT